AAGAAAGGCATTTTTAGAATTTGACTATAATTGAGTGAGGATGTGGAAGTTTTGAATGTCAGCATTAAAAGAGAAAAGGTGTAATTATTCTGAAATCAGGCATCTATTTCCTGATCGATCCACAATTATAGTCATATGATTACTCAACATATTTTATTTTCTCTTACTTTATATTTTCAACAACAATTTTAGTGAGTCATTTCCTTCATCTTTATGGAGCTGACCTAGGCAAACTTAAAGGTGCCTCATGCTAAGGTACAAAATTGCCACATTTTATATTCCCAAGTTTCATTTTCCTCATGGCTGAATAATGATCTGAATACTGGCTCACCACAAACTCCCCAACACAACTCACTTAACCCCTTGCCCCAGTTGACCAGCTGACCCATTATTGGTAAAGTGTAGTAGGCAAGATTGTAGGCTGTATGAGATGTGACTTGAGTTTGAATCCTGACTCCAACACTTACTGGGTCTTTGACCATGGCAAGGAATTTCACCTTCCTGAGAGTCATCTGTAAAAGAAGATAAAAGTACTTACCACCTAACTCATAAGATCTGTGAAGATTAAGTCAATCAGGGCAGATGAAGTGCTCAGAACAATGACTGATCCCAAATAAATAATAATGTTGTTCTTGGCATTATTCTCTCTATGCCTTTCTTTTAAAGATAATAGACCCAATCTGAACCTCAAATTCACATTTTCACAAAGCACAAAGCAAAAGGAAATGAAGACAGATAGTGCAAAACTAGTTCTCTGATTCAACCACTCCAAATTTAAGACTAGAAGAATTTAGTCTTTAGATAAGTTATTATCAAGTGACAAGGTGTCATTGGATACTTGAGATCATGCATAAAAAGATATTCAATAAAATCACCTCTATCCTGGAATATGGAAAAACCAATCATTAACTTTATATTGAAAGGAAAGAGACCTTGGATAAGCAAAGCACTAAGGAAGAAGAAAAAAGTAGGTCTCACACTGCCAGATCTCAAAACCTACTACACACCCACAGTAGTCAAAATGGCCTGGTGTGTGTTTAATGACAGATACATAGACCAACGGAATAGAATTGAGAACCCAGAAATAGCTCCATCAACCTACAGTCAGCTGATCTTTGACAAAG